ACGGATCAGTGCAGCCGTCCTAGACCTTTGGCACATCCACAGCTTGTGGGCAGAGCACATACTTCACCAAAGCTTCTGCTGAAACGATCATCAAAATTAGCTGCTGCTGCTGATTCCCCCTTACACCCCTTCCCTTCGGATTTAACATCAGTCACACACTAAGCCGAGTGGGGCATTTAATCCTGATAGCAGTTTTATCTTTGTTAATCCATAGGCTCAGGAAGACAGCACTATATTCCTTACAAGCCACTGATGCTTTGAAGGGTTTTGCAGAGATAACTATTCAGAAGAGTGCAATGAAGAGCCCAGTCTTGTAGCTGAGAAACTCCCACCACTATGAGGCAATGGCAGTAATGGGGAATTTTTTCTTCAGTCATTTATGAAGTGCCAAAGGTGGCAAGAAATTAGTAAGGGAGAAAATGAATGCTTGGGGGGAAAAAAAATATTAAACAGTGTAAAGAAGAGTGCAGAAGCCTATGGGCAACTTGTGCCCTGCTGAGAGGAGGACATAGTCTCCCCATGCCTGACGAGCCACCGAGCAAACCCAGGATGAGTACAGGGCGAGCACTCGCCTTAACACCACAAATGCCTTTGCTGATGCTCTTCGAAAGTGATGGCAGCGGTAGGGACAGCAGGAGGAACAGCAGAAACCCCTCCCGCTCTCCTTTATTCATTGAGCAGCTTTAAAAAAGTGTTCACCCTAAATCACTCACATAAAAGTAAAACAAAGTGTTTGTCTCAAAAAAAGGCATTGTCTAAAGAACATTTGTTTTCCCAGCACAGATGTACCCAGTGTAAAAATATTTTTAAAAAGCACATCTTTTGAATGCTAGGATATAGAAAGTGAGAGGTGGCACTGAATTTCTTACAGAAAAAACAGTTTTCTTCCAGTCAGCTCACTTAGTAAATGAGACATCAATTAGATGTAGATAGAAGAACACTGGAAAGTACTAATTTTGCTGAAAATGCACTTTTAGGCCAAACAAAACTACTTGTGAAGTTGAGTCAAAATCAGCAAATAACGATTCAGTCAAATATAGGAAAAAAGCAAAGGGTTAACCTATTTTATTTTGGGGTGTGAAACAATGTTTCAGTTTTTCATTTTGAAATAATTTATTCCAAAGTTGAGGCTAAGGTCATTTTCCAAAATGTGAAATAACACATCCAATGGAACATTCTTTCCCCTTGAAAATAATTATCTCCATGTATTTTTATGTCACTGAATATTTTTATGTTTTGTGCTAATACGAAGTAGACCTGTTTATTTCTCATTTTGGCTACCCAAAAAACCACCCCACCCCCATTATTCAGCAGCTCTAACACCAGCTCAAAGGAGCATCTCACTAGAAAGCCCAGAAGGCAGTAAGACACTCTCTAACCTGGCGTCACAAGAGGCCAGCACAGATTTTTTCCTCCCAGAGCCACCAGCTTGTCAACGTCACCAGGGCCGGACGGGCAGGATGGGCAGCGTGGTGGGATCCGCGGCGGTGCGGCTGGCAGGTATCGGCACGGGAAGCGCCAAGCACAAGACCTTCATTAACGAAAGACCATGTAACTGAGGTAGGATAGATCCTGCCGTCAACCACTTAGAGCGAGAAACCTGTGCCCAGAAAGGGAACCCACGGTTGCCCAAGGTGAGATGTACAACCTCATATAAAACACCTCCGCTCAGGCTCGACGGAAATGGAGCGATGACCTACTTCGTTGCTGATCGCATGGGGAAACCAGGGTTTGCCCAGGACTGTGTTTTAATAACAAATAAAACCAAGCTCTGTAGACCCTCTCTTGGGCAGGGATGAGCATTTTTTGGTCCTGGCAGTGTTTGGGGCCATCCCTAAGCAGGTGGCTGCCAGCTGAGTGCTGCCTCGGGGTGCCCGCAGCAAAGGGCTACATCCCTAACGCACACAAAAGGAGGAACACATCCATCCGTAGGATGGTGCGGGCATTTTGGCGGGGAAGGCTGGCCGCCCTGGTGCTCCCACCAGGAGGGAGGAGGCATTTCGACGCCAGGACGAGTCCCTGAGGAGCAGCGTGGGGCTCACAGTTTGGCACGCAGGGGTTATTGCTGGGCCACCACAGAGTGTCAAGGAATAAGCAGTGTGTGACACTGACGGTCCCCGCTCAGCAGGCGCATGGGGATCCAGTCCTGCGGCAGCGATGGGGCCAGGCCGGAGAGGGGAGCTGCAGCTGGTGTCCAAACACTCCTGAGAGCACGCACCGCCTCTTCTAGCGTGCTTTTGGCTTTTGAAAAGGAAAAATACAATGAGAGGGAAAGGTTAAAAGAGGTGGAGTTTGTAGGAGGTTTTTAAGTGATTCTACATAGAAGCTCTCAACTTACTGCTGTTGGGAAGGAAAAAGAGAGAAAGAAAGTAATTATAGCAAGACCTCGGATGCTTGAAGAATGGAGTCTCCCACAGCGTATAGCTGTGTACAGACATCCCTAACAGCTCAACATCAGAGCAATAGCAGAAAAGGAAAGCATACATTTTGGGCAAGACCAGAAGAGACAGGGCAGGGATTTCTCTAAGGACATCCCCATTGTTCCTCTGGTGGGCATGAAGCATGCAGAAATAACCGCCTGTGTCAGAGCTATGCACTGGTTTAATGCGCCAGCATTAAACTCCATCTGTTAAATCGATGTAATCCCATAGAAACACTTTTCTTGCAGTTTAAGAGTGGCTTAATACATTCCTAATGAACTGGATCTGAGACAGACCTGACTAAAGTAGAAAAAAAGATCTGGATTAACCCAAATAAAATGTTCACAGAGTCTTGTGCATCCCTCTACCCAGAATCATGTTAAAAATCATATTTTATATTAAAACCAAGAAGGAAGCCCTGAGACTGCTAAACAGGAAAAAGGAACCAGAAGATGGAGCAGAGTCCTCGGTGTGAAAGCCATAAACCACTGTGACGAGGAGGGCCCTGACTACCTGTATTGCTTGCAGCTCTTAGCTGTTATCTCCTGGTTCCTGGCTGAAGCAGGGACTGGCTGCAGTTTGGGAACTCTGAAGCAGCATGGGAGGAGAGGAGAAGTAGGATGAGCTGCCTGTTAAATGATGGTGTCTATCTGACTTGCTATCAAATAAAAAGACTAAAAATGGAGATTACTTGTGCACAACCACACACAGTTTCTGACGTCATTTTCAATTTTGAGAAGTCTGATCTAACCCCACATTATGCAACTGTTGAATCTTCCACACTGGCAAAGTCTAATTTTCACACGCCTACACGCTATGTACCTGATTTTTATTTTTATTTTTAAATATCAACAGCCTACAGCAATTTTCCTTGAAGAGACTTAAATGGTCGTAATGGTTACGAAAGGTCCCAGCTCCACATTCGTTGCTTAAAAGGAGTAAAGCAAAAATACACAAAGTCCAGTCTAAAAAATAGGCAGTGAAGATAACACAACAGTAACAGATTAAATGAAAATTCAAGGGACAATTGCAGACAGAACCTCTCTCCAGCATGGGGATTATATATCCATGTGCAAAAAGTATTCAATCCATGTTTCGTCTATAACCCACCTTTCTTTCAAAGGTCACTTTTATAACTGAGATGTGCCGAGAAAAGAAAAAAGCCCCTAAATAAAAAAAAAAAAGCACTATCATTTTATATCAGTCACTGCTGGAATGCACTAACGTGGTGCTTAACCAAGCTTTCGCCTGAATTAAGCAAATAATAATGTCACATAAACAGAAGTTCTTTCCTGAATTAATTCAGATCCCATGCAAACAGACTCTCAAACCAGGTTATGGAGAAAGAAGAGAAAGAAGCTGAAAGCAGTCCTGTGGGCAAGAGCAAAACTTGGGCTGAATTCTCCTCTCTGGCCCTTTTGACATCCCTGTCTGTGATGAAGTGAACTTCCTTCTCACTGGAGCCCAGTGTATGGCCTTGCATTTCTCAAAACATATTTAGAGCTGCTGAATAATCAGTTCAAGAATACAACAGCATTTCTGCCTTTTGGGTTGGGTTTTTTTTTTTGGACAGTCTAACTTGGTGACTAATTCCTACCCTACTGTCAAAGATACACGAGGTGAGAATGCAGAAATCATAGGAAAGGATTTTGATTTCATGTGGTCATGACCCTGCCAGTCTCCTGGGCAGAAACTTGCTTCAGAGCAACATCTTCAAGTAACCTTATATTGCTTTTCAGACCAACATCTTCTTCACTACTGCAGAAGTTAATCAACAGCGATCAATCTGCACAGAGGTGCAGGCGCCCTGTGTACAAACCAGCAATATATCGCTTTTTAAAATAAATATCTGGTCCCAAGACTCTGGCGGGCACTTTTCAGAGATGCATATAATGATGGAACTATACGGGTTCAAAATTGAAGGCCAAAGAGAGATGATCTTGCTAAGCAAGAGAAACTGTCCTCACCTACTGGGTAAGATGCGTGACTTGAAGAGCTGAAATTAATTTCTACAGCGTTGACTTTGTGCTGTAAGGGTCCAGGCAAGCACATGCAACCTGTATTGGAGGTTATCTAAAATCCACTGGATTTTTTTTCAGTGAATCAGGCCTGATTGATTGACATGGTCCCTAAAGATACTGGTATCTGTGTGAAGTGATTCACTTGACTGCAGCTCATCACAGGCACATTTTACAAACTGCAGGAACTCCAGCTAATCTTCTCACTGCTCCACCAAGGAATAAAACTGGATGTTGCTAGGAGTGCTGATAGTCCGGACAAGAAAAAGACTTGTTTTCTGTTTCTATGGTTGCAACAGCCCTTAAGAAAGATATAAATTTCCCTGCAACAACTAACTGCATATTCATTTTAAGGTAGATCTTGTTCCAGATTCCTGAGACAGAGCCCTCTACCTATTCCCAACCGCACGAAGCTGGAGCAGCAATATAGAAAGTTTCTAATCTCAACAGAATTCAGTGAGCAGCACGATTGGTTTGGAAACAAACAATGAAACAAACAAAACCCCGCCCCCCCCCCCCCAGCAAATTTTCAGCCTCTATGTACAAAAACAATGCAAACAAGTGGAACATTCTAGTTATATTTTGTAAAACACATGTTTGGGATCAACAAAACATCAAACATCCAGACCCTAGATTACAAAAAAATCTATTGCCATCTAATTGTCAACCCCAAGTTTAGACAGTCCTTGTCGGAAATCATGTAATTCATCTATCTTCCCATCTAGTACATCTAAAAAATTCTTTAATTCAGTTTTAAGGTTGGTCTGCCTGTGTTTGCTCTCTTCAACTTCTGTCCTTAGTGTTCTGACTTTCTCTTCAAGATCGTTGTTCTTTTTCTCAGCAGCCTTAAAGACAAAAGAGACAATAAGATGAATCATAGAGAAGAAGGATGAACAGCATCTAATAGGGTAAAGCAACAAGTGACAGCTGGGCTGTAAAAGTTTGCTTCGACTTCTGCAAACTGATTAACACAAGCATCTCTGTGAGCAAGCGCCATGTGCTAGTCAGATTAAAAGGAAAGAAAGCCCACGCAGGAAAGGACACAGATTAACTGGAAAAGATGCTTTGCATCAGATTTTGTCATTTGGTTGATATCTTAAAATTCAGCTGGATTTAAATCATGCACTGTGCATATATTTCTGTCATTGCTACAGTTGCAGAATTAGACACTGTGCCACCAATTACATACAGAATTATCTATGGTGGTTTAACCTTGAAAAACAAGCTTAGAAAATACTGCCTGAGGAATCATATTGCTTTATTCAGCAGTTTTGGATTTGTTGTTTTTTTTTTTTAAGTTCCACTTTGTGTGAGCACTCAGGCAAGGAATGGGGCAACCACGTAACACTACCCTTGCTGCAGTTCATTCCATTATTTTCCCCTCTCGATAGCTCTTCTGCCTATTGTTCTCTGTTTCATGTGTGTAAGCACATGCTTATTCTCGCCAAGAGCCATAGATTACATACTTTACCATACTGAATGAAACAAAATTCGTATTTTCACCATTTTCAGCATCTGCACTCCTCAGCAGCCTTCTAAATGATTTTAGATTGTTTAGATTATCAGAGCAATGGCTTATTTGATGGACTGGATTTTATTTCATTGATGAGACTGCTTATATTTGTTCTCCTTTCATGTACTAATTTATTGCATTTACAGAAGCCTGGACTTTAACAAGTGATGCCCAAAGCCCAGCTGCTGCCTGGGGCAGGGCTCCACTCTGAGCGAGCACCTCCCAGCAGAGGAGCCACATGTGCAAAACCAAGCCACAGCGAGCTGTTTGTTGCTGGAAAGGAATGATGCAGCATGTCAATGCATCCTCAGGTGAACTTTTTTCCCTGGTGGTGTGCAGCTACACTCGTCTGTTACTTTCCAAAAAGCCTTCTCTGGTGCCACTGCGGCAATTAGCCGCAGGTCTTGGAGTGCTGCTTGACACACATGGCTGCCGTGCGGCTCCACAAGCTCAGAGCAGCAGAAACACGGGATACAGGATAGCCTGGAATCTGCAGGAGATAGATACAACACAATCCCAGGCAAACCAATTTCTGCAAACAGGAAGGCAAAGAAGCGGAGCTATTTAAATACTCCTGCGCTGGGAAGAGCATGGCGTATTTTGCATGTAATTAGCATTTTCGATTTTGACAAACTGGAGCTCTTTTGCATTCAAACACTGAATTTTGAACAGAGAAAGGCATATAGTTATGAGAAAGAAAGTAAATGTATCAAATTTTTAAAAATTAATTTCATTGCTAAACTGTACCTGTAATTGTTGAGATACAGATTCACATTCTGACATTAGCTGTGGTATAATTTCACCCTGCTTTCGGAGCTCTTCCAGTTCCTTTGAAAACACAAAAGAAAAAAAAAATTAGTGCAAGCTTCAACTTAAAATGTAATGAAAATTTGAGAATATGAAATGGCTTTGCATATTTTATTGTATTCTGCACAGTATTTGGATGTAAAATAATCAAAACAGCATGTCTGCATTCCAAAACACATGCTAATTTTCTACTAGAATACATTTTTTCACTACATTTTTTACTTTGTATTTCTAAACAGACAATGTAATCCAGTCTCTAGCATGAATGCCATTAATTATGTTAATGAAATATTAACCTCACATACATACCTATGCAAAGATATATTCAATAAGAGAGGAATCTGAAGGGCTGTAATGCCACAAGCAATTTATAGATGGTAGCAAAGTGCAAATTAGACATAAATTTTCAGTGATATATGGCAGCAAAAAAAAGGCCAACGGCATTACGAGCTGCATATATGGAGGCATCATTACAAAGCACAGCTGTAATGGGCTCTCCTCCACTGTACAGCTCCGAGAACCACCACCAGCCCCCCCCAAATTTGTATTTGGTTCTGGTGTCACTATCCAAATTGAGAGGACTAGCTGAAAGGAGTTCATGAAAAGAGCAAAGTGACTTGATAGGAGTCCATGTCTCTGATGGAAATTGAGACAACTTGAATATATTAACACCACAAAAAAACACCATCGATGTGGGTAGTAGGGAAAGACTCAAAGAAAGCCTGTACATTTTGCAGAAGGATTGTCAGAGCATCTGAAAAGCACATTTCTAGATCCAAGAGAAACTCTGTGACTTGAAGAGAGTGCAAGATCCTCCTCCAGAAACTGCCCATGTAGGTGACAGTCTCAAGAATAAGCAGGGGTATATCCTCTCTGAGCTGCACTGACGCAGGACAGCAAAACCAGTCCTATCTGAAAGGCAGATTTCTTGGCTACGAAAGGTCATTTCTTCCCTAACAGATGAACTTACAGCATAATACAAGTGTAACAGTACCCATGAGTCAAGCTTTTCCACAGAACCAGACAATAATGTTTTTCCTCAAGTCTCCCTGATTCCCTTGTTCTAGGTAAATCAATACTCAGTGCTTCCAGTCTCACCCAAATTTCACAAGAATCCAGTGTATCCTGGAGAGCATGTTCCTGTCTTCCAAGGTTTGCCAAAAGCACCGTTACGTCCATAAATTCTTCTTTTTTTTTTTTTTTTTTGATAAATTCTGTAGTTCCAGGACAACTCTAACTGCTTTTATAATTTCCTTCCATTTTCAGCATTAGTTTACATTAATATAAGAAGACAAATCATATAATACTACAGATTTTTTGTGAACTGCACTGAAGAATTTAACTAATGTAAGAGTAACTATATCTAGGCAATTTCTCAGCTGCTGATATAAGGAAAAGAAATGGTAACTTACCCTTTGTTTTGAGATATGAGCTCCCATGCATATATATCTGTGTATATACAAATAATGCCTGGGAGCTCACGTCTCAAAATATAAACATACTATATATACTTACTATATACATATAACAACTATACTGTATACTTACTATATATAGTATAATACAGTGAGTGTATATATAAACACAATATATATAGTACATGGCATATGATATATATAAAATATATAAATATTTCACTAGATGATAGCTCTGTCCTGATTTCCGTGTCTTTACATTTCTCTCTCCTCATTTCCCACATGAAGAGGATACCAGCAGCTCCTCTTACACAGCAATGACCATGAGCAGGCTTCATGCTGGTTTGAATTGCAGACCATGAAAAGGTTACTTATGGGTGGTTTAGACCTAATCAAGAACCTGCTAATGTAAGTATGCAGTTTGATAACCAGTTAGTGCCATAAAAATGTGAATCTTGAAGAAAACGCTAGCAGAGAATAAGGGTTATTGTATACGCTATTACCATAGAAAAGTTGGGAAGAAAGCATGACATTTTCCTTTGAAATATGGGGCTGAAAAACATATTATATTTATAACAGTGCATCAAAATCCATCTCCCTAAATTACTTCCTTGTGCCATCTTAAAACCCCTTAACAGCATTGCTTTTAAGAGTACTAGCAGAGATGCTGTAATGGCACATGGCAAACTTTGCTGCACTTGCTGACAGCTTTTTCTCTTCAGCCAGCACAGGGCATTTGGTCACTGCAATGAAGGAAAAAACCAAGGATCCCATTATTTTCCCCACTGTTCAGGGGCTCCAAGCCGTCAACATCTGCCTCCTTAGAAAAATGAACATCTTGTATGTCAAAAGCGACAAACTGGGGTACTCTAAATGAATGTGAATTTCTCACTCTTGGCATTAGTCCTGAGATCAGAGGGAGACCGTAAAATGGCAAAACTGAAGACTACAAGCCACCCAGAAAAAGAAACAGTATTTATTAAACAAATGCCAAGTTATTTTGTAAATGATGTCTTTTGAATAATGGTCCTGATGTCTATGGAAATTCAGGCCATGGGGACTGGCAAATGAAACTGTTCTCAGCATACATCTGCCTGGCTTTGAGCAACACGTTTCACCACTCCAGCTTTTCTATTAGGAGTAAAGTGTTGTATACATAACAGTATCATGTTTGTTAACCACTGCCAAATTAAAGTGTGCTGTCACAGCGCATAACACATCATGAAACTGAGACTGAAGAAATCTATCAAACTGTTGCTAAGGAGCTGTACATGGAAAATCTAGAAACAGGCAACACCCTGAGAGATTGGGAAGCTTCTGGTTGTAGGTGAGCCAGTCCATAAATCTACACCCCAAGTGAGGAGCAGACAGACCCACTCAAACTCTAAAGCATGTCATTTCTGTGGCCAGGGCACTTACCAGCTCTTTGTCCTGAAGTTCTGTTTCCAGTTCCTGGAGACGTCTACTCAGTTGCACATTTCTTTCCTTCTCTTTATTTATTTCATTGCACTGTTCCTCCAGTTCTTCAATCTTTAAGAAATGTCAGACATTAGGTGAAATTTTTCAGACTTCTGAAGAGCTGGGGCAGAACACAGCTGATGTAAATGGGCATTGCTCCACTGAGCAGAGGGAAGCACGGACAACTTTAATTTGTCACGGATCTGTTTCCTAGATCATAGCACTTGATTCACTGCAACCAAATTATCACTTCTTTCCTTAAAAAGAGCCAATTTACACATCCACTAGGAAGCCCTGGGACCGTATTTATTCTCTCACAGAGTATCTCATATAAGTACTCAGGAATACACAAAACACTGAGCTGCTAAAATAAGCGGAGCTGGGGATAAAATCTGCACTTCACTTCTGTGAAACCAACACAAGACTACAAGGCATGGGTTTTCTTAACGCAGCAAGGGGAAGAAATCTCTCCAGCACTCCCAGCTTTGCCTCCTCAGGGGTTGCTATTATTCTAGCTAGAGTACAAAACATCAAAACTTTGGGGGGAGAACCAGTTCAGAGCAACATATGCTGCTTTGTTCTCTCGCCCAGGGACGTGCTTTGCTCTCTCCATACCTCCTCCTGCCAGCTCTGGACTTAGCTCCCAGGAGATGTACTTCCCACTGGCCGACGGGCCAGCTCATTGAAGTATGTACTTTAATTCTCAGCTTTGTGTTGCTTTGGGATTATAACTTCCCTCGTTTGGAGGTAGAGCAACATGCAAAAAATTCTGACCCAATTAATAAAGGAGAAGGAACTTCCCAGGGCGCTGCAGTGGTGCAGCATGAGCGCCGAGCAAGGAACCTACCTGGGGGAAAAGCTCAGAAAACCTCTCTGTATAGAAAAAGGCAGCACATTATAGAGACAGTGTTGCTGCACAGTCTGGCTAGTCACCAATATGATGACTTTGCAGCTGTAGTAAGGCAGTGTTTTGATCATCTCTTCATATCGAGGCTACAGCTGCTGAGATGTGGCATATTTCATCAGTTAATGAGAACAACTTTTCTCTGCAACTGTATAGAAAAGTAAAAAAACTACACTGCAAATTATGATATTTTCTTATAACATACTGTTCCAGTCTCTCACTTCTCCCCTATCCAACAGAGACTGGATATAGGAAGCCAAATCATGTAACAACTAATACCAATTTGTTAATGTAACATCAGTTAACACGGCTCTGGTTTGATCTCTGAATTATCATTGTGCACACCTAAAATACATGCAAATAGATAGACAGTATCTGCCTTGGGAAAAAGCTTGCTCCATGTAGATTTTCAGTGCTGACAGACAAGCCAGGCCACCTCCAACGCTGAAACACTATTTGCAGCCTACTGACATACAAAAAGATACAAAATTCTTTCCCTCTTTGAAAGCAAACACTAAACCAAAAAAGATCCTCACGAGACTGATACAATCTGATCTCTACTCCAAATGTCCCAGTATTCTATCTAAGTGAGCAGGAAAAGGATACAGCTTTTCCAAAGACACTTAAAATGAACAGAGTGAAGTTATCCCTGCAAGCAGTGCTCACAGAAACCAGGCTCCCCGTGCCCAGGTTGGTGCCAACCCCATGTGGGGCTGTAACAGACAGCACAGTATTACTTGAGGGACAGTACAAATGACTACTCTAACCTGAGGCTTTAAAAATTTAAACTTCTGAATTGTTCTCTGCCGTAGCGACTGCTCACCTTCAGTCTTACACTACTGAGAAACGCTGTGCTCAGTAACAGAGGGGAAAAGGCTTTTGACAATGTCTCTTGGCAGGTTTCTGGACGAGACGCGCCCGCCGATAGCACCAGAGGACCCCCCAGCTCACAGCCCGCAGTGCTGAGGGCGTAACTCATGTCCTCATTCCCCTGCCCACCTTTGGGATTTCCTTCTAATACGAGTGGTTCCCAGGTTGGTTTCCTGTGGATAACCAGGCCATAACCACGCCTTCTGCTCAGTCATCATTTGGCAGTGTTTAAGTGAGCTTTGAAAGAGATATGCAATAGTAATCCCGCTTTTAAAACTTTTCCATTTCAGCACTGCAGCCAGCAACCCCTGCTGACCCCAAGTCTCCCAAATCAAGAGGCAGGGAGCTTCGCGAGATGTGGCAGCACCAGTCCTCCCGCTGATCCGCGGCCCTTTGAACTTCCCTGCCCGCTGTGTGCAGAGGGAAGCGGCTGCCTTAACCCCCTCTCCCCGTCCACCTCCCTTTCAAAGATAAAATCAAAGATAAAGCAGCAGAAACCCAAGAGAAAGAGCAATGGCCGGAGGAGCAGACTGGAAGAGACGGCTCTCCTGTGGGTACGCTCTGCTACCTTGCTCCTGAGCTGGTCGTTTTCCTCCTTGCAGGCTGAGAACTGCTTCTTCCAGTGCTCGATGCTGGCTGCGGACTCCTGCAGCGCCGTGGTCAGCCGGGCGTTGCTCTCTCGCAGCGTCTGCAGCTCCGTTTCCCACTTCTTCACATTGGATGAACTGAGAAAAACAGGGCACCATTAGGTGGCTTCACCTTATAATCCTGCAGCTCATTATTCTTTACCTGACTGCAAACTCATGGTGTGTGTTTACCAATAATTTGTCGTTATAAGATCTGGAATACTCAGATGTACGTAATTGCCTTTAGCTATTGCCTGCCCAAGGAGAACGTAAGCCTTAATTTGACTGTCTCTGCCAAAACAAAGGGATCAATCAACTCCAGCAACGGTGACCTGTGTGTCTGGAACAAAAGTCCTGCCGTCAAAGCAGGCTGTAGGGTTAAGCTGACAGCTCGGATCCCCACCATCTGCAAACAGGGGTTTTACTCCGGCACTGTGCACAGTGTGCGCTCACCTCCAGAGCTGCGGGGCTGTGCCTCGCTGAGCACCCGCTGCAGTGCAGGCCTGCGGACGTGGGACCCGTGCAGCAGAGCGACTCTACACATTTGCAGATGGTACAATAATTCAGAACAGAAGATGTCAGGGGGTTGACACCATCTCTGTTTGATTTTTTTTAATGCTCAGCCTTAAATATAAAAGTGTTACATAATGCTGAAGAATGAAACTACTCATTCCCCAAAGCTTCAAGCGGCAGCGTAGAGCCCAAGATTAGAGAGTGAATGGAAGGAAGGCTTTGAAACTCCCTACATGCTAGTTGCTACTTGCCTGTGGAGGTGTCTTCAGCAGGAGGAATGAGCAAACGTTATGATTTGAAATAGGTTACGCTATTGAAATGTCAATAAAGAGAGATGATGTACTTCAAATATAATATATGCAACCTTAGAATTGCTCACTGGGTAACACTGCTTATGGTGCTGCTGCCTTATTTTTTAAATAGCTTTTTAAGAGTAGCTTGATCCTGTTAGATTTTCTTTCCATTCACAGATACATTCACATGCAAGAAGCAGACAAGGCAAGATCCCAGTAGAGAATTATTCTATTTTAATGTCGTAACTTTGCATATTCCAGCACCTGTATTTTCACTAAGGCTGCAAATTACTCTTCTCAGTATTTTCAAATAATTTATCATAGCAAAAAATGTGACTTCAAGGGGCATTGTCCACAGCTTTAGAAACATCCCCCTAAGACTTCTAAGCAGCCCAGTGAAATTATATTTCTCACTTCAACTTTTCATGGTCGAGTTCATTCCCTTTTATAATTTTAAATATCCATATCTATTTTCATCAAAGTAAATGTAGCAAACTCAAAGAGGAAGAGAGATTGGTTTCACATGTTATCAGTAGCAATTGCTCCCCCATGGCTTTAATGTTATTTCTGTAGCTCTAAAACTTCACAAACGAAGGTGGTTATAAGAGTTGGCATCAGCAGAATAAAAGAGATCTTATTTCATCATGAACTACATCAGGAAAAAAACTACATGGTAAATATCTCTCAACTGGATACCAGAAGGTACTTGCTAAAATCTGCTCATTCATCCATTCTGCTGCATCATTTTAAATTAATGCAATTACATTTGAATAATTTCATTAGCCATCAGATAATTACAGCATGCTATTCCAGTGCATTGTAGGTATTAAAGGAACTTCACCTTTGGGCTAGAGCAATTTTTAATTTATCATTCTCAGACTTGAGATGTGCCTCAGCAGGACCACTGTGTGATGCCTTCTCATCATCTGTCCCGTTCACACTAGATGCTCGAGTGGAAGATGGTGTTTCACGTCCAGATTCCTGCAGCACAACACAGAAATGAACACTGGATGTCTCCTGCAACACCACAACACCAATTTCTTTGTAATCTTGATCCCACACCACCCTGCTGAGACCTGGGCTACATATGCTGACCTGGCAGAACAGTGGTAACAAACACTCTTTACATCTTGGCTGCAAAGCTGGTCTGTTTAAAAAGAATGAAAAAATTATGATCATACACAAAAAGGAAGTTTAAAGTGTCCAAAAAAATTTTTTTAAGTGTTTTAACTGACAAGGCTCATGTTTTCTAAAGGTTGTTTGGTTTTTTTAAGATAATGAAACAATACAGCGCACCTGGAAGCACACAAAGTCCGAACCAAAAATAAAAAAAAGAAGATACTGCTCCTCCAGAGAGATGCCATTCATACACTGCTTGGTGCTGATCACCAACAGAGAACAAAGTGAACCATAAAGGCCATGACGAAAGTCTTTAAAAAATGAGTATCCAAAGTCAGCCTCTCAGATCGATATTTGTGAACCCCACAAAAAGGGTTAGTTGCAAGACTAAGAGCATTCAGCAGCTTTTTTCTGATCATGCATCTGAATTCCTCTCTGATGAAAATTCATCTAACTTTCCTCCGAACATTAGCCCAGGCCAAGAACACCCACTGAACAGGGTTCATTCTTACCTAATGCAATGCATATGAAATTACAGTCAAACATACAGAGAGATTGGGACAACATTCAACTTCTTCAGTTTGTAAGAAACCCAGATCTCCCCGGACAGAGAGGCACTTGGCTATATCAGGGTGTGCTGTCTAGAAAAGCGTACTGTACAAATATGCAAAACAAGCTTCTTCCAACGACTCACTAAAGCACTGTCTCTGTTCCCACACCACAGCTGTCCATAGTCACACCTAGGCAATGAAACACTATGGCCACAAAGTCACTCTCTCCATTGGCAAACCAAACTCCTACAAAAGTATTTTAGGCAGATGACAAAAAGAAGTACCCCAATGAATCTCATTTACTGTCTGCTGAAGCACTACACCAACTTACTTTCCAGTGACCCAAACTATGTGTAACAGTACAAATCAAGAGATGTATAGCTTTCCCTGTTATTATATAACAGCTCAAGAACTGCTGAAAAAAATTAGATTTAAATGAAGGCAAAGAGCATGGATGGATGAAAAATATTCCTCTGACAATGCTAATGTCCAGCAGCTGACAATTACCTTCAGCAATCTTCATTTTATGTAGTTTAAGCTTGCTGCCAGAAGCTGGTACAGTCCATTAGGAAATTTAACTTTGAATTATTTATCCTGTATACGTACAGGTATTAAAGCTAAATTACAAACCTGGGAATGATTGCTTGAGGTCTCAATTTTCTCTTGAGATCTGTCTCTCGCTAGTTTGGCAGCTTCTTTTACTTCTTGGAATTTCTCTGCAAACTGGAAAAAGCATGAAAGATATTTATTAAAATGATTTATCATCCATTAAACTGTTCAGATTACTGTCTTTATATGGTTCATAGGTCTCCAAAACTGAACAACTGGTTTTGATAATTTAAAAATTTTGGCAAGAAAAAACATTTAAAGTCTTTGGCAGGGAGGTTCTTTCAAAAGGAATGGGGGTGTTTTTAAACGAGGGACATCTCTGTAGTTCTGGACAATCACAGTAAAAACCCGTGGAGAAAAAGGAGCTATTAGTGTCTCCTGATTTGATTTGGTTTTGTTTATTTCCTCCCCCTCCTCTGTCTCACTTGGTGTTGACAGTCTATTAAAGTTGAAAGCATAAAAGACATATGTTTGGATACAAAAATTATCAATGGCTTCTATTCCTAAGAGCCAGTCAATTAAATTAAAGAATGCAAATGAGCTCATCTGCAGAATGCAAGCAAGGGATTATCAAGACATAGAAAAAATGAGAAGAAGGTAGCTCGGAATGTATGATGGGGCCATATGAAAAAAAGAGCTTTTCTGGTCTAATTTTCTTATTACTGGCAAAAATAAATGTAGAAGACTTCAGGGAAAGGCTGGAATGCTTCCTGTAAGAGAGTTATATCAAACTGAGGGAGGCAGGGGAAAGAAAAGATAAAGATGAAAAGTAATGATCCCAATCTCTACAAGTTGCTGTAGGACAGCTACTCCGAAGCTAGTCTGGCACTTTTGAAATACAAGTATTATCACAGCCAGTCAGGGTTGCAGGGCTTTAAACACTTTAAACAGTGTTTCAAGTTTTAAAAGAAGGATTGCAAAGATAGAAGAAAAGGCATAATACATAATTTATTTTTTTAATTAAGATGTATCCACTATAAGAATGGGTAACTCTGTCTTTCTGCTAAAGCAGCTTGGTCTTGCTTGCCTGCGTTTTGAGAAACTTGAAATGCTAGAAAGGAAAGACATATTAAAAGTAAAAATATAAACAAACAGATGTATTTTATTGCACAGTTTGTGAATGAGAGGATTGCCATTATATCCTTGGATAATTCAGAACACTTATGACAAAATTGTAAATAAAAGCATGAAAAACCCATCACATTTTATAGTCAAGGAATGGGAAGAATCATTATCCACTTATTAATCTTCTAACTTTTAGATTTACAGCAGGTATTTAACAGGCCCTCTCTCAGTAAAATACTGGGACTGTAAAGACTGATAAATCTTCTCCAACTGGTGTAAGAGAAATCTGGATTTATATGTGGAGGCACCTGTGTTTTGTATAACACACACAAATGGAAATTTCCACCAAACACACATACATCATTCTTAAATCACATGGATGAGCACATTCTCAAAGCTGAGTGAAATTTCAGGTGTAGACTACGATTTGTGACAATGCTTATAAATGAAGATTGAGCTCTCGAATCCAGCTGTTGTCTATACAACAGCTGAAATTGCGTATGCAAAGTACGTGCTCTCGGATGGCAGTAGTTGCTATCTGATGACATGTGCAGTCACTACACACACAAATGACTTGATTACCTTTGTAGCACTATAAAGATCATTAGGAACAACTACATTACATTTTCGCCTTAAGTGATTTAACTCCAGCTTTACACAAAATGTACCTCCTGCTGTGACAAAACAGCTATAAGAAACTGATTATTTCTAAAATATTGTACCAACAGTAAGATCTACACTTGGGTTTCTTGCAAATAGTAAAGGGCTGTTTTGAGTCTCTCTTTTACAATAAATCTTTATGGGCAAGTATGAAAAATTTATGAGGGTTCTTCATGGACTATATGAAATATGAAAAGACAAAAAGAATTGGAAGTCATCTATCAATTTTTTTTTTTTTTTGCAGCTATCTTCATAAACCACACAGGAGACTGCTGTGAAAAATTGTGAACTGAGAAGAAAAGGGCATTTTTCCACATTTCCATAATAAAAAATTGTATACGACTGAGCAAAGCTAATCTTCTTTATAAAACCAATAATGATCTCATTGCACAATAGATTTCAGTCATGTCTCTAGTTTACCAACATATGTATTTAACACATTTGCTTTTAGAAACAAACACAAATAACTGAACTTTTCACCATGTCAGTGACAGATCTTCTGCTTTAAGAGTCAAAATATTACCCTTCATTCTTGTCGCTGTTACAAACGTTAAGACAGCTGTAACGGTGTAATGGTGGTGAAAGACTGTCTCTGGTTTTTGTTTACGCCATACACTTGGAAACAGTCAGTCCGTAGTGTTCTGCTGCCACTTCTTTTTCATTCTTAGCTAATTAATACCTGCTAGATTTTATTAACAGTCTATTTTTGAAAGCTACGGAGGATCACTTGGCTTGTTATGAAATTAAAGCCTTTCACTTGATTACTCTTCTGAGCGCAGCAACATGGTGGTGACAGCCCAAACTTGTGTAGCATTACCAACGCTAATTGCTACAGCAGCAGACCAGGCGTTTCTGAAGCTACCCAGATCCCGAGGCCATCTCTGAGAGTGTTGGCATGGCCACAGTGTCTAATCACTGGCAGAAATTAGAGAGATGCTTTCTCTCCAGTACTTGATTTCTTCTGTCCCAAACATAAATAACTCACAAGTAATGGATACTATAAAATCATATGCCACCTCCAGGATCTAAGTTGACTTTGAGATATCAAAACATTTCAACAATAGGGAGTGCTTTTTAAATGTGAAACTCCTAGTTAAAAGGTGAAATAATCTTCTGTTTAGTAAACGAAAACTTGGTAAATGTGGTCTCGAGGGGCAATGCATGTATAAATACCCAAAACCAACCAAAAAAATCATCATGCTCCTTCTCCTTCCATCTTTACTCCCTTCAGCTTCCATTTCCTCCACCCTCGTCCTCAGGCAGACAAAGTTCCCCAAAATTAGCAAAAAAAAGACTGGAGTAGGAGAAACGCCAACTAAACACCACTTCAATAGCCCATCATGGTTTATATGACGTGTCTTCCCATGCCCCAGGAAGCTGTGAGACTAAGCTGCAATATGGAAAAGATTTGCTGCTACCAACACTTGTGAAGCCTTTTAGTCTAAGGCTGCTGCAGCCCACGAGCACTGTTTGATTACGAGTCTTGGCCAGTGAAATTTAATGGGGACTCAAGGATGCTCCTGTGCATTGCACAAATTATTTAAAGGCTGTTCAAATCTGCAGCCAGCTTGTCACCTGGAGAAATATATATATATTTAAATAGACCTTCTTAACATTTTATACATCAAAAAGCATTATTTTCTATGTGTAAATTTTAAGCTCCTGATCTGACATTACATTTTACGTCTCCTACTGACAAATTGTACCACTGTCAGATGAAACAGCTGCTCCCACCCAAACCAGTCTCATAAATATTTCATCACCCTCTTGGTTCGCAGAAGGCTGGGTGATGCAACGTTCCTGTTGGGGAGCACCGCCGTGCCGTGACCCATGACGCACATGTTGTTTTGCCCGTGGTTTTCTATGGATAAGCCCTTAGTACTGGGCAGATCAGCAGCAAACAAGACTGTTGCTCCAGAAAGCGGTACTTTGCTCTAGTACCGCCAGTGCGCTGCCAGCACCGATGCGATGCTGGTTGGACCAGGGGCGGCTGCGCTGCGTGCTGGGGGCAGGGACAGGCTCTGCGCGGAGCTTTCTCCCCTGCAACACAGCACCTGGCGAATATCGCACCATAATGTGCACGCATGCATAGAAATAAAGTCCAGTGCTTCCCAGATGCTGGATGCAGTTGCTTTATGATGTGCAAAGTCTGGGTTTACTGGGTTTCTCACCTGTATAAATTGTTGTCCCTATGCCCTTGACTACCTACAGCTCCTCAGACAGCATGTCTGTGTGGAAGCATCCTGAATGATAGCAGACATTTTATTTAACTGCTTCATGTGCAAAATACGTCACCACCTTCACAGCACCAGCCCTGCCTCTTCATCACACCCCGGCACACCATTAATTCTCCTTTGATTCCTGTTTTGATTTGGCTGTAGCAATGTTTGAATAATGTCTTGAGACCTTTCTGAGGCACGGGGTAGGAAGGGGGGGAAGGAAGGTCATGAGTCCTGCAAGAGGGGAGAAGGACCCTGAGTAGGACATCAACTTTAAGCCCTGGGATTCTCCCAATCACTGTGAATGGTAATTAGGTTACTAGGTCACTGAATGCAGTTTTCATTAATGGCTCATGTTTAATTTGAACTGTTTTTCCCTATAGGTATGCATTAATGCTTAAGTATCTCAAGAGAAGCAGGGCATTAGAAGGAGGCATTATCTTTTATTAGGCCAACCGATATACTTAAAAATGCAGATGTTTTTAGTCATGCTAACCTCTTCTCCTGTCTCATTATTATTCATTGTTTTCAGCAGATATTTTTCAGCTTTATTTATTTATTTATTTATTTTAAGCCAGGGCAATTGATCTCTGCTTTAGTGGGTTTTAGTGTGTTCTTCGAATTCCTGACTAAAAGCTTCAATTATTTCCAATAAAACTGGCAAGCTTTAATTTATATCTTTTATAAGAGTATAATGATATCAACATAAAATGAAACTTGATTTTACTGTTCCCAATACACTTGCACATCTGTAATTTCTGTGCCACCTCTGATCTTTCTTACTAAGGGTTCAATAATTAAACTGAGGAGCATGGATGACAAGGGATATCTTCATCCCATCGCTTTGCATGGTGGTAATAAAAGGTTTGCTTACATTTTCCAGCTAGATAACTGTCAGTTGTTTTTTTTTTAAGTAGATCATCTTGAACCATTTTCAGAAGTGCTCTCCTTAAGCTCCCCTTCGGTATTCTGACCAGAAAAAAGTCTGCTGCCTTGGAAAGCTTTTCCTGCAAGTAGAAGTCTGTATTATCAGCAGTGGGCTCTTCAGCAGATCTTGCAGTGCAAACAGATGTGCACACTGATCTGGAGAGAAACACAGCTGATGCGGAGGCCCCTGTGCCCACATAACATGTTTTTCACATCGGCTCTAGTCTGGCCACATTAACATTAAAGAGCTGCTTTCTGATACCAGCATTAAATTTATTCAAAGTACGTGTTTGGACAGTTTTGGAGAATATGGTAAAATCTCTCTGATGAGGGTGCAAGGACCTCCAAATGTACCTTGTGCCTTGTTATACCTCTCGTCTCCTGAGCCAGCCTCAGCACCACCTGCTCCATGCGGCGCGTGGTGCATGTTTAACCCCAGTCAGCACTGACGTACCGTGTGGTCACCTGTCATGTTGCAGCGGTGTGACCTCAGTAATCTGGGATTAAAAATTACCATCCAATGGTGCTAATTCTTTTATTTGGTGTCCAAAGGTTGCATTGTATCATGCTTATCTGTTACTCAAAACAAACCATTGCCCTAGGTCCACCTTAATCCTCTCATATTCCCATACTACTTACTAGCTACTATGAACACCTCTGCCACGGGAGTGGAGAATATGCGTAAGTGAAATGAGCAGTCCTCTACACTTGAGTAAGCATCATAAAACATAACCATCGCCAGCACCTCATTTTTAAAAAACAGTTTTACATGTGATTGATTGGGTGGCCTTAGCATCCCAGAAGAGCAGATTATTGCCATGGCACCTTTATGGACATCCCAAATCAAAAAATAATTTAACATGAAAGGTAAAATATGCTTTACTTTTAAGAAATACTTGCAAAAAATGCAGTTCTCTGGAAATTGTAAAAACTCAGCAAAGCAAACTTAGTAAAATAAATTCCTATAACAACCCAGTTGATGGAAAAGTCCTCCTTCTATTGCAATGGTCTGCCATTGCTATTTTAGACACTACAAGAAACATCTTGTTCTCCTGACTCTTTTCTTATCAAAGCACACAAGAGGACAGCAACACGAGAGACTCTGTGCCATGCCCAAGGACACAATTTTAACTGAGGAAACCCAGTGCCAAGTAGCCATGCTTCAGGTGTCAACTATGTGTTAGATAAGTAGGGGTTTTTTTACTACATGAACAAACAAACATCTCAGCTGCTTGATGGGCACTTGACAAGACCACTAATCTAATGACAGAGGACGTATTTTAAACTGCTGGTTATTCATTACAAGAGGCAGCTCTAAGCTTTACAAGCCTGCTGTTGCAGTCAGTCCCTGGTCCAGGGAAGCATTGCATTAATACCAAACTCATGGCCAAGTTTGCTCTCGGAGCAAGTTTGCTCTCTGGCAGCTCTGCCAGCAAACCCGGCATCAGACCTCCCCAGCTACTCATCCCCCGTTCCTGCCACCGCTCACTGCCACCTCCTCAGGTCTGTGATAAAGAAGCTTTAGGTCAGCTCTGCAAATCACACCACTGAGCTGAAATGCCAAAAATGCATTATTATCTTAACCCAGATCAGTTTACCGAGCCCCCTGAGAGCACGGCCCCACCAGCAGTGGTATCTGCAAAACCAGGGCACCAGCAAGCCCTGGGGGACTGGCAACTCCTTTACCTTGGTTAGCTACCAGTGGCAGCAAGTCATCAAAATGCACATTTCTGAGGCTGGGACAGCAACTCTCTTCCTTCAGACACATTAGGCAGCCCTAATGTCAACAGTCCTGGCATATCAGTGGTTCCCTTTGCTGTTGGTGCCACTGTCAGCTGAAATGAGCACATAGGCCAGGGAAATGCCAAAAAATACTGCAGAGTTCAGGTTGTTTCTGTAATTATCTGAAAACACAAATGCTTTCAGCCACGTTGGGCACGATACCATCGAGATCACCAGCACTAGTACCGTCGTCAGCAGTCTGATTTAAGTTGTAGTTTTGACTACCGTTTGCAATACTGCCTGCTTCTGTATATACAGACATTGGGTAATTACAGGAGATGGGCAGCTTGCATGGGTGAAGAGGACTTGCAGAAGCATGCAGCTCAGAAGTGGTTGGATGGGTATATGCAATTCTAAATTAACAAGAAACAAGACAGCCTTTGCAGAAATTCAGTGAGCCCTGTTACCTTTGTCAGCTGCTGCTCGGAGGGAAAGCCCAAACCAAACACAGTATTCGCTCTGCTGTCCGCCCACTGGCCAAACTTCTGCGATGTTTTAGTGAAGGTCATATTAGGTGTGATTGTGCTGTTTATGATCACCTGTTTAAAAACAGATCAAAAAATAATTAAAAAGTAGAAGCCACATTGGAAATGCATATCCTAGCAACAATATCATCCAAAGCAATGAGCAGTCTAAATTGGGAAATTGCTGTATTCAGAAGATTTTTCCCAATACAAAACAGTTTCTATCTTGTCTTACTTCATGCAGGAATTTTGACATTTTGTCTTCTTTTTCCAAAGAACTATCATGGTCCTGCATTTAAACACGGCTGCAGGAACATCACTGAACTCAAAGCAACAGAAGGGACAGGAGCTATAAAATTATCCTGGCAGAAATGCAGATGCAAAATCCTCTTTTTTCAGCATTACAAAGGCACATGGCTACTCCCACCGTCCCGCCAGGCACCCGGGATGGCCCGAGGCTGCCAAGCAGGGTGTCCACCAGCAACACCTGCCCTCAGACTGGAAGAGCAAAGAGATAGTTCTGCATTTCTCCATTTGGCCTAGGGCCTCCACAAGTAAGATGCCAGAGTCATGTCAGAAATTTAAAAAAAACCCAAACAACACAAAACAAGACAAGGAGAAACTAATAGCTTAATAGTGAGTTTAACTTGGAAGGGTGGTGAAGTGCGTCACCACCACCACCACAAATGCAGTATCAAATGTGGGCCTCAAGACAAATATTCTGCCACTTTACACGAGTTAACTAATACCCGTTTCACCACCAGCAACCTTGAAAGCAACAGTTGGTCTTGTAATTAAAGAAATAACCAACAAGAGGAAGGCTGTTGCGATGAGGTCTCTAAGGAACTTAGTGGAACAAGCATAAAATGTAATCTTGCAAAAGGGAATGAGATATATGTCAATTCGTTATCAAAAATCTTAACTTTATTTTCAAGATACATCATTATATGAGTCTAGAGACTCCTTCCCCTGGAAATTAATTCAAGTACAATGTTTTTTCTGCTAACAGAATAGCTTTCTTTAGTAAGGCGTACCATCATTTCCAATATGCAAATTATGCAGTAATTAAGCCAAATCTGTGGGACAGTTTAATTAACATGATCAGGAAGTATCCTGGCAACATCATTTACTATGTATTCCGAGCAGTGTTTTTCCTAAGCTATTGTTTACATCTAGCAAAAAGTGTGAATTAAATTTACCAGAGAAAGATCTTTACTTGCCTCTGTCCCCTCCCTAGCTTCTGACCTCTCTGCTGATGCTTTTATTTGCTTTCTTAGAAATTGCTCAGCTTCAGTGGTTTCCTCTTTTTGCATCATCACTTTCAAACAGACATACGATTTTCTGCCATTTCCTGCCACTGAAAGTTCACCAAAAGGATCAAACCAGAGGTGGGCCAGGTGGCTGGTACCCCCGAAATTGTTTTTTGCATGGGAATAAACAGGGCAAGAAAGGGGGAGAGGTGATTCTGCAGCCAGTGCTGGCCAGCACACACCATATAGACATCAGCTTTCAGGGTCAAAACATCTCTTTGAATGGCTGGTTGACAGGCAGAGGTATAAGCAAAGCTGCCCAGGCGTGCCTTCCTCTGGCTAAGTCACACAACAGAAACACAGCCAATATAAAATCTAAGCGTGATTTCAGACACTTAAATTAAAAGAAAAGCAGAGATTTTATGTAAGGTTTTGACAATGCAAAGGGTCTATGATGATACGAGGATTGCATGACACAAAGAATCACAAGAACAGGAGGAAAAGCTACCACCAACCCAGATAATCAGGATGCTTTCCAAAAACTTTAAGGAAAGTGCTATATGTATATTTCTTCTTTAAAAATCTTACATCAGACAGATGAACTACTTACAAATGTTTAGTTTCTCAAGTTACAGAATTTATTTTAGAAGCTACGAAATACCCAGAAATTTTGAGTGATAAAAAGTATTATTTCAGTCCTACTTTGCCTATCAAATTATACATCTGTGGGGAACAGCTAATAAAATGACCCACTCTATTGAAAGGCAAAAGCTTCACTCACTGGAAATGGACTCTGAGAAGGATAAAATTCTTGCATACCTCCTACAATAATCATTGAGTAAATACAAAGATGTAAAAAAACCCCACCAAACATATCTTTTAGACCACAGGCCAATATTATCAAAGATGTGACAAAAGGAATAATGAAGCCTGCAAACTGTAAACCAAGGAACATCTTATTGAGCAATGAAATGCACTACATTAGCTTAGCACATTAGAGGTTAATTTTTTCTATAGACAGCGCAGAATCGAAGAAAAGGTTGTGGTGATCACACACCTTCAAGAAACTGACAGTTCATCTGTTAAATTTATAATAAGCTGCAATTAGTGGAACTGCCTGGAAGCTGGCTCTGCCTTTTTTTTTTCCTTAAATCCTCCCCTGTCAGTCAGGCACTTCAGAAATGCTGCATTCCCACAGAGAAGTGAAAACCTAAGTAGAAGCTTAGGAGATTAAATCAGAGCTCATGGAAACAGTTCAGAGGAGCTGGATGCTGCAGGTACATTGCACGTATCCACCTGGTCTTCCTCCCCATCCTCACCCCATCACCTCATCACTCTTGCAGGAAGACGCCGTAACACTAAACTTTGGGAACATCAGCCTGTACATTCTCTTCCCAAGTAAATCTGGTCATCATTTCAGAGCAGAGACACTACATTGGCCAGGGAACAGTCATGTTGGTTGTGTTTAGAAGAAAGAAAGGGTGTTATGATTTCAAAGAACAATGAAAAGCGAGGCTTGCAAGCACCCCTGCCAGGTAACCCAGCCTATCTCGCCTCCCAGAGCTGGCTCAACCTCAGTTATGTGAGACCAGAAGGAAAGTACTCCCCACCACTCCTCCATCTCCTGGGCAGAAGGTCTCTAGCTGGGGCAGAAGACAGGGGAAGCATTTGTGGCCACCACAACAGGAAAGTTTGACCAAACCAGGAAAAAATTCTTATTTTCATGAAAGCATGAAGCAGAATTTGCAAGTTTCAAAGGAAGAAGGAGCTGAGAGGAAGGGCGCAGAAGGAAAATGGCACTATTTGAAAGCTGCTGCGGGCAGGATGAGCCCACAGGCTCTTTTCCACCCCTACCTGCAATCCAGTATTATAATTCTATAAGAAAAGGCCACTCATCAATTCAGATGGGCTCTTATGAAGTAACGTTGCATTCGATCAACATTCATATGATACACACATGGCACAATTTCGGCTGCATCAGAAAACGGAATAAACTTGCAGACTTTCATCCAGGATAATGGATTCAAAAGACAAACTACTCTCTAATCAAATGCAATCAATCCCTGAAGTGGTTAAAGACTTCCCCCTAAAGACAAAGGCAAAGAGGAGCATAATATAATAAGCACTTTACAGAATAATAAACTCATTCATCATACTGACTGAGTTGTCTACATGCAGTTAAAAAAAAAATCTGCCTTTGCTCTCAGCTACATGCAAACATATCAGATGGCGAACGTTCCTGATACATCCACATAAGCCAAACAAAATCTCATACTAATTTCACTTCCTTTGGGAGAAAAACAATCCTGACAGATCTAAATTTTTATTTGAACATGACACAGAAGAATGTTCACAGTACAAGGTAGCGCTACATCAACCAGAAACGACTCCAGACATTTAGAAACACACCAGGTATATTCATCAGATAAAAGTGAATGCAAATAAGCTGGCATAGAGCAGAACATTCATAGGCTGTAACACACCCATCCCGTTGCCTTCCCACGGAGAGAAACTGCCAAATAAATCAAGCAGGGAGAGGTCACAAGACAACCTGAGTGCATAGAAGGAAAAAAAATGTATTGGCAGCTCCTGCTGCTCGTAACATATGAGCAGTGCCCATATATACAGCTGCCATTTCTTTTAGGCGATGCTTCGAGTATTTAAAGGGTTCCCCTCCCACACCTCCTGTACCACAACAGTGCACTAAGGGGGAAAAGCCAATGTGGCTCCGGAAAACACATTTTCCCAAGTCACCGCTTCATTAACGTAAGGTGAACATGCATGTCAGCTGGCTGGAGTACAGAGGGAGCAGAGCTGGAACAGCACACGGGGCTTTGCCGGCTCAGCTCACAGCAGACGCCCTGGTCGCATTGGCCCTGGCTTGCCAGATTCACAAGAGGGAAAAGCAGAGACGAGAGCAAGCTCAGCTCCAAGGGGAGGAGAGCAACGCTCACAGTGGGCATCTGGCAGGGCCACCGGCACAGCCCCAAGGAGGAGGGCCAACGCACCGGCAGGAATCGGCCAGGACTCTTCCTCTGATGAGACACCCACCAACGGGATGATAAGCCAGTTCAGCCAGCCCTGTCATAAGCTTCTCTACCTGGGAAAAGACCAAAATAACAGCTATGAAATAGCTAATGAATATATTAGCCAATATATTTTGGAACTGCATTAAATTAAATCAGAAAAGGGCCCCTTATCCTGGGACAAGAGTGCCAGATTAGGAATTATTCTGGAATATCCCCTTTAAATTCATATCACCTGTTATCTGAAGTAACCTCACCTCCAGAAAAGCCCCAAGACTCGAAGCCATAGGATCTACTCATTAAGAAGATACTACATTAAAACCTCCCCATTTCATTTTCACACCTCTGAATATGTGCTTTCCAGTTTGCAGCCCTTGTGAAATTTAATTTCCCCAATGTACCAGGCTGCTAATCTTCAGTAAAGTTGTATCCCAGTCTAAAAACAGAATTGAAGAGGGAAAGAAGCTGCTAATCCTCTGGCCACAGCTATCACAGGCTCAGCAGGTTCTTCCAGCTCATCAAGTCGACATGAATCACAAGGGCTTGTGACACTGGATGTGAAGATCAGGAGACAGGGTTGGATTTGCAGAGAAATTCTCCCTCTATCCCAAATGTTCAGCAACTCCCTTGTGGCATTAACCCACCTATGTTCCCATGATTTGCACTGTCCTTTGCTACCTACCATCCTTCCTACCTCTGCTGAGAGCTTCTAGACTTAGATGTAACAACTTTTCACCAATATGTCACTGGTGATAAACTGATCATTTCATTTCTAGTCCTACAAAGCCAGCACACATAC